GTGTTTCTAAATCTAAATGACAGATTATAACACTTCGCAATAATTTTGCTGGTGAACACCAATAAGCTAAGATTCCCAGTAATGAGACGTGATCATTAGTTTAGCTCAACAGAAATACATTGCATAGGAAATTCCATGTAATTGTTCATTTTGAACCCAAGGGATTTACAAGGAGTCCCAAATGCCCAAAGCACCTTGGGTTCTCTCTGCTCGTGCCAGAGGACAACCGTGGCCTCACCTCCTGTGGCCAAAGGAAGATTAATAGGGCCTTATTTTCTTCTCTCCACAGAGCAGGTTTTACAGAGCACGCCTGACTCACAGACATCACGGAGCCTCCTGCTTAGTGGCTCCTCACGCTGAAAAGGTTACCTTAGATTAGGGTGGGGAGGTTCCTGGATGTGCTCTGGTGAGTGTTTTTGGACTACAGAAGGGAAATTTGATGAATAATGGAAAGACAGTAAATTACAGAGCTTGAGCAGATATGATAAAGCTCATTTCCATTTGATTCATAAAAACTGAATTTAAATGTCAGCTGAAGATGTAAAATGTTTAAATGATAATTAGGAATCCACACAAGAAAGTTGTAAAGTGTTTACATTACAGAAACTTTCTGTGGAGTTCAAATCTCATCTCCCCAGCAATATTTTTCTTTTGATCAAATATTGATCAAAGAGCACGTGTTGGATGAATAAACCATGAGATGGCATCATTTAATATTTCTTCTATTCTTATGTTTCACTGACTTTTAGAGCGACTTATAAGATATGTGAGGTCCTTTCTACACTAGATATCACAGATAGATTGCTTAAACATGATAGAAAGTAGGGGAAGGAAAATGATAGGTCGAGATATTGTAATGTCAGAAAAACACATTTCATAAAATAAATATTAAAAATGCCCATGACCAATGCCTAAAGCAAAGAACAGGAAAATGAGTAAAGGGAGACATTGGTCAGGGTAAGACATGAAAAAACTTAATTTATAAATTATCAGGGGCTCATGAGTGAAGGAGGATTGGGGAAGGGCGGGGGGATGAGGAGCTGATACCAGGGGCTCAAGTAGAAAAAAAATGTTTTGAAAATGATGATGGCAACAGATGTATAAGTGTGCTTGATGCAATGGATGCATGTATGGATTGTGATGAGTTGTATGAGCCCCCAATAAAATGATTTTTTTAATGACCCATTTCAGTCTTCTCTGTCTCCACTAAGGCAGCCCTCTTGCTCTTGCTATGTGCTGGTGTTGAAGGGACGCTCCCTTCTTCAGATTTACCATCAACCATGAATCAAGAAAAGTTAGCTGAACTTCAGGGTCAGGTCCAGATAGGGGACAAAGGTACAGCTCCCAGAATTATGAACTTGGTACATAGAACAGCTACAGTTGATGACATAAAGCTTCAGAGATCTCTTTAAAAATTGGCTGTGTATAGGATAGCTGGCATTGAAGAGATAAACATGATGAAAGGGATGGGACACCATTAATTTCATTTCAACTATCCCAAGGTACAAGCTCCCCTCTCTGCTAACACATTTGCTATTACTGGTCATGTAGAAGCCAAACCATTCCCAGAGATGTTTCCTGAAATATTAAGTCAGCTTGTTGTGGACAGCTTCACAAGTCCTAGGAAATGAGCTTAACAGTTCCCAAGGCAAGTGTTGGATAGCAAAATCCCAAAGACCGAAGATATTGATATGGATGACGATGGTGTTCCTGATCTCGTACAAAATTTTGATGGGAAATCGAAGAATGAAGCTAACTAAAATCGTTCCTGATTTTTGGAAGTTGGCAGGGACTAGATTTAACAGCTCAGCTATGTGGTTTCAAAGTTTTACAGACATAGAGAACATCACCTGTTCCTAGTTCAGTAATATAAATATTTTGTTTAATGATGCTGTTTGTTCAGCATTTTTGTT